CAGTTAAACTTGCCTAAGTCGACTTTGGTTTAATAATTTCTAAATCGATCTAATTTTGCATGCCAAATTGTTGTGATTTCCATTATTTAACAATCTGTAAATCGAATTTTATCTTAGTCGAACAATATTTCTATGGCAATTTAGATTTGACTTAGGCAAGTTCAACTGTATATGTTATTGGCGTAAAATAAAATAAAATAAGATAATAAAATAACCAAAGCTAATAGCGAAGGTATTCCCAATATTGAAGGGGCAGGGCATAGCAGAATAGTTTATTCCAGGTTGAAGGTTTTAAATTTATCTTATAAATTGCACATAGCTGAATCTTTAATTCACATAGTCCAGTTGATTCACTGTGTATTCACAAACTAAAGCTTTGTCGACACTATTGAATTCTCTTTGACAAAGATACTGTTGTATGCCCATATATGATGATGATATGGCAACTGGTATATGGTCATGATGTGATGTCGTCATGACCGTATTTAGGCATGTCACATGTTTTGTCTGGAGTTAAATTTATACATAACACCACACATATGTGGCAGTGACAAGGGGAAACAATCGCAAGTCAGAAAAACAAGTTTGGAGTTATTAATATCTTGTAAAAATATGAACTCTAAACTTTCCGATAGTGAAAAAAATCAATCTTATCCGATAAATACTTGATTGATTGATTGATTTGATTTATTTATTTTCCACATAATGAACAAAAAAAAAGCATATACATGATCAAACATATTCAAAAAATCTATGTGGATGGAGACCACAATAAGTTTAAGAAAAACTTTAAGATGTGGCCACCATTAAAATAAAAATAAAATACAAAAACTGAAAACATAAACAGGTAGTCTGGTTTCTACTTTAATACATAAGTTAGAAGGCTGAATTACCATACATCGAGACCAGATATCGTTTGATATTAAGTTTAAAAGAAGAAAAACTGGGTAAAGATTTAAAAAGGGGTCAAGGGAATTCCATAACTTAGGTCCATTATAAAATACTGATTTTTTTCTAAGAGAAGATATACATTTTTCTGTTGTAATATTGTTTTTTGAAAACCTGGTTGGATAGTTATGAATTTCAGACTGTTGGGTTGGGAATAATAGGGTAATATGGATTGGGAGTGTATTACTTATAAATCGATACATAAAATTATAAATTTGTTGTTTGTTTAGATCAAATATATTAAGTGTATTATATTTATAAAATAAAGGTTTAGTGTGTGTAGTACGACTTGACCCTGAACAAATCCTGAGAGCACGTTTTTGTAATTTAAAAATGCTATCAATACTAGTGGTCTCAAGACAGGTCCAGGGGCATAGGTATGTATGTTTATCAACTGTGGTGGCCCACGAGAGATTACAATAGTTAATATAGGGTAGGACTAAGGTATTGTATAATGATAAAAGTATATGTGGGGGAAAATCATTTTTTAACTTATTCATGACACCAATATTTCTAGAAATAATATTAAAAATTTTGTTACGATGAGGTTGCCAGGAAAGCTTGGAATCTAATGTTACACCAAGAAATTTTGTTTCACTGATCTGGTTAATAATATTATTATCTATTTTTAAAACATGATTATGGTCTTGTTTTGTTTTGTGATTAAAAAGAATAAAATCGGAGCGGAGCTCTCATCTGTCCAGGGATCGGAGCTCTCATCTGTCCAAGAGAAATATCCTTATTTTGATATTGACTGAAGAAGAATTTCCACTCTACAGCTTAAATCATGCCAACAACCACATTCCCAGGATTGATTGGATTATTGACTTGCTAAAAAGAAAAATCTCTTAGGGGCGCTTATTCAAATCAGAAGGGGGCGCTTATTCAAACGGGGCGCTTAAGGAAATTTTCGCGTTAAGAGGGGCGGTTATTCGAGAGGGTCGTAAATTTAAACGGGGCGCTTATTCGCGCGAGTACGGTACCTCTAATTGACTGAAGATAAAAGTGGTCTCCAAAAGACAACATGGCACAACCATTTATTTCAAGGAGGAAACTAGTTTGCTTTTAATTGTTGTTTTATTTTTACCAACTTGAAGCCTTTTAAAACACACTGAAATAAAATCTGAACAGCATACTGTAAAGTAAACATAACATTTACACTTTATTTGACTAAAGTTTGGGTTTATGTCGGTGTCCATCCTTTACATAAAAAAGCGGATGTTAATTTCTTTTGTGTTATACTTGGCCTTTCCTTATTCCCAATCTTCAATAACAATTCTCCAATGAGTTTGAAAGTATGGCCATGATAAAGTTGGTTAGGGATAGAAGCTTTGTAGCTAGACTCTGGGGCATGGCTATTAGCGGCCTATTCATAAATATCAACTTAATTTTAAAGAAAAAAACATTCATTTTACGTGCTACCAATTTCCTTTAATTAGTTTTGAACAGCTCCCGAAACCGAATATTCCCCCTTAAAATAGTTACAAATCGGATTATCAATAGGCCTAGTAATTTATACATAGGCCTTTTAGAGTAGGTGGTGAAAAAAAAGGGCTTGAATTTTCCGGGAACTAGGGAATTCCAATATCACATTGGTAATGGTAATGGTTTGGGACTTGTAGAGCGCATACATGGTCTCAATGCGCTAGAGACCATGTAGAGACCATGTAGTGGCCCAGCAATTAATCTTGAACTGGGGATTCAAACTTCTACGCCACTGCTTCCCCACTCCCCTTTTGGCTACGGGGCTGGATATTCACTTCTTTTCACATCAAAGCGAATACCAACAGGGAAACACTTCTTAAAAATCTTTGGATGATACCAATTGTGTGTTTCAACTTGACCAGATTTCCCCCATATTTTCCCCCGACAGGCCTAACTGTTTTTGTTTAAAAAAATGTTTGCTTTTAGATTAAATTATTTGCTGCCGGGAGTGCAGCAATTGAATGACTGAAGAAGAGAAGCAGAAACATAGGACTATCAATAGGAATGAGCGTCTGATTCAACAGCACTTTTTGAGATGAATGCCAACAGATTGTTGAAACGTTTACTGATATATCATGACAGCGAGTGGCCTAAAACTAAAAACTTCTTTTTAAAAAATAGCTTTTTCAAATATAATACACTTAAGAAACCTTTATTTATAAGGATAAATTTATGAAAATACATGTTATAATTTTAAAGTTTAATATTTCAAATTAAAGAGCATTTATTGTAAAAAAAAGAAAAAAAAACCCATTGAATCTGTTAGATTAAATACTTAAAGTTAGTCTTGAATGGGAGGTAATTTTGTCACTTGGTACTTCAATAAAGGTGGCTTCGGTCTCGAATTAGAGGATCTCATCATTAAAAGGCAAGCTCAGTGTTAAAATATAGGTGGTAAGTTAGTACTTTGAAAAAGTGGTCTCGAAATAGATGGGTCTCGAATTGGAGGGCGGAGTGTATTTGCCACTCTTTATGGCAGTGATGGCGCGGTGGGGTTGGGGAGACCTCGTCGTCTGACGCACGATCAAAAATAATAATAAAAAAAAAAACCAATATCATGCTACCAATTAGGCTACAGTACTACGTTTATTTTAATTGACAATCCCGAATATTGTGGTCTAAGACTGTAAAAGCGCATTTTGGTTCACCATACCAAGCCATAAAAACACATCCCCATTGAACCCTACCCTACCAGTGATTTTTTTTTTTATGCCTGACCGTCGACCAATTCTATAGCTTCATCGGCCCCATGGTTTAGGCCCTAATTCAGTGGCAGCTGCGTAGAGTGTAGAGTCATTTGGTTGTAGCACCTTCCCCATCGTATTCGAGATTCAAATTCCAAGTTTGCAGAAGTGAAACTTTCGAAAACCACGCATCACCACAACCTCTCCCCAACACCTGGGGCGGATGCAGGGGTGCGATCGCAACCCCCTAAATTTTATTAAGAGAAATAACTGTTGTATTATATTGTTGATATGAATTATTTGTAAGATTTTTAATGTATGAGAGTGCTGTTTCCAAGCACCCAGAGGTCAATATTCTCAAAATATTCGCACCTCAGCTCCAACCATGCTAGGGTTGAGGTAAAGTGGACTCTCACACACGTGGAAGCAGAACATGGGGAAAGGGGGACACCCCTCACTTTTCTTGACCCCTCCCCCATCTAGACTATATTGGGATGGTGTGATGATGAATCTTACTATATAAAAGTCATTTCAAGCCATCTAAGGCGGTTGTGACTCACAGCGTGGGTAAAATACATCAAAAACAATGTTTTTAAGTTTCATTTCCTATGGTACATCACATATACTAATTAGATCTCTGTGGTTACCGAAAATCGCTGATAAAAGATCACAAGAATTTGCGCTTCATTTTGACTATATAATGATGATGTGATGATGATGAATTTTACTATATAAAAGTGTCTTTTCCGGCAATCCTAATGTAATTTTCCTCATTTTTTGTACGCACCCCCTACCGCCAAATCCTGCATCTGCCCCAGCACACTCCGTGAATATTTTCTCTAGCTGCCCAGTAATGTATTCTTTGCCACTTGGGTAGCGTAGGTTAGACTTCTCAAGTTCGTAAAATGCATTTAACTACAATACAGTATGTCTTCAGATTACTGTAGTAAATGAAAAATGTCCGTAGCACCACACAATAATTTGCCTTGAGTGCAATATATAAGTATGGAGTTATAAATTATTTTGAAAATGGGCCCGACTGTAATTCGATATGAATTTTAAACAAACGGTACAGGACGAAGATTTTCTGGCCACTTTTTCTTAGTTTTCATAATAATTCAATTCATGATTTCTTGAGTAGTTTTTCTAGCTTTCTCAATTTTGACTTGCCAACTTCACTGCTGCAAATCATGAATAATAAAACCAAAAGTCTGAAGCAAAAAAAAGATAACACAAATTTTAATGAAATAAACCATTTATTTGCAAACATATGTTTCCACTGTTTCCTACAGGCATCATCAGTGCTAACTGAGAACAATTACTAAACAAACAATTGCCGCTATATACAGTCTAAATACTGAATGGACATCAGCTCAGGGGTCGTGACATGTAGCCTAAATGTTGTTTGTTGCCACGTAGTAGAAAAGTAATGTATTCATCATATTCCGACCAATTAAAGTTGAGGGTGTTTAGTGCTTGTTTGTTGCCATGTAGTAGAAAGGTAATGTATTCATTATATTGAACCAATTAGAGTTAAGGTGTGATGGAGTCCCGGATGGAGTTTGCTAACTATATACCGAGTGTTATAATGTCGAACTTGACATTCTGAATGCATTCTGCATACTGTACTACGCTGTCTGCATAGACAGAAGAAGGTCCCAGGTTGCAATGGGCTCACTAGCATGTTCATTTGTGTTATTTGCTATGTAACGAGAACTCATTTTCTTGATCTTAAAATATTTCCTACCTTTAACCAAAATTATTTGCACTTTTTCCTTAAAAGCATGCAGTACTTGAAAAAGAAAAATTAAAATTGTTACTACTAACTATTAAATTATCTAACTGGACATTATTCTTAACCCTTTGAACCCGGAAGGCCGGTAAAACGGCCGTGCGCTTACGCTGCAATAACCTGAAAGACCGGTATACCGGCTTTGCGGGTCAGGTGACCTTATTCGGGGTAATCACCTGACCAGTATGAGTAATATGGCGTAATTTTTGTGACATCATCATTCGCAAGTCATTCTGACAGCCTTGTACGTGTGGATTTTTTTTGAAAAAACAAATTTATATTGAATAATTTGACAATAAATACCAACGATGCTTTACGATTGATACTTGATGACTCCCAAGAAAATATTGATGATGATGATTATCCAGGAAGTGATTTGGAAAGTGAAAGTGTGGCCTAGGCTGATCACGATTGTGCTAGTGCCAGTGGTAGTGATGATAGTTTTGTGTCAGGTTGATGGATGGCTATGGTAGCGGTACAAGGCATAGGAGGTGGTGGTAATGGTTGTAATTAAAAAAAGAGCATATTTTGTCCAAATAACTGAGGGTGAGGGTGCCGCAAGATGTAAATAATGCAGGGTACAAAGGGTTAAATCATTTCAAAAATTCCACATGGTTAATTAAACTCTCAGCTAAGGTTAATATCCTTTGGATTTTTTGTAATTTCCTCCACTCCTATAAAAAGACAAGAAAACATCAAATAAAACATCAATAATATCAAAGACAAGAATGATAATCCTGATATTAATACCAATAGCAATATAAACACAGGAAACATTGAGAGGCAATATAATAATATAATGCTTACTAATACAGTACACCTAATTGTATATGTATTGTATTGAAAATGACCAAAAAAATCAAACAAAATAATTTTGAAATTAACTTGCTCACTGACATACAAATTATCAATTGGGGTATATAAATTATTGAATTTACAAAATGTCTACCCTGATTTTAAACTGGATAATTATAATAAAAATAATAAAACACTTCCAGTGACTAAAAGTGTTTCTATCATTTTGCTGTAAAAATGATGGTAAACATTTGTTAAATGCACTATGCAGGATTTTTTCTGGGTGTGTTGTGATTATAATTTTTTGGACATTTTCAGTGGGAGACCAGCTTGAAGCGGATGGCAGGCTCAGTTTCAGAATTGCTGGAATTGAGATAAATTACGTCATGCAATTGGCAAGGTCTTTGGACTCATTGCTGGTACCTCATCAATGCTTTAAAATTTATGTCATTGTGAAAAGGCCCTAGAAAAAATGTCTTTGGAAAAAATGTGGACCTTTGAACATTTTTTTTGGGAGGGGTGGGGGTGTCGTACAACATTTCTGACCCTCCCTCACTCCCTTGCATACACCCATGTAATTTCAAAAATGATTTTCATTATTTTTTTTAACAATAGTAACAATACATTTTAAAGTTTAAATAAATACTGTAGATGTAGAGTTCTGTATGATAACTTGAACAATTTTAAGAGATCTATCACTTACCCATCACCAGTGCCTGTGGCCTTCCTTTTGGCAATAATCTGAAATATGGAAGGAACAAATTGTTGGCAATACATTATTCTATAGAATTTAATTAGAGCCCAGTCCAGACATCACATCATGACCATATATAGGCACATCATGGCTATATATGGGCATACAACAGTTTTTTGTCAAAGAAAATTTGATAGTGTGTGGACAGAGCTTAGGATCTGTTTACTTCAATTTAAAGCTGTCCACACACTATCACATTTTCCGTGACAAAAACAGTTTTACGCCCATATATAGCCATGACGTGATGTCATAACAATATTGAGGCATGTCACATGTTTTTGTCATATATAATTTGAGATCAACTGCTGATACATCTATTCCATCACTTCCGGCATCACGTTCAAAGACCTACGGCAGCGGGGCCTTCTCTGAAGCTGCCCTAAAGTTGTCGAATTCATTACCGGCTGGTCTTTGTGAGGCCTCTTCACTACTTGTATTTAACAAGAAATTAAAGGCTTATCTTTTTTTTTATCTTATTATTAACTTTCTCATGGTTAATAATTTTCATTTATTAGTTAATTTTCTTGTAGTTAAGTTTTTTCACCTTGAAAAATCGCACTTTAACCATTGTTAATTTGGGCCTATAAGCAGAGTATCGCTAGGTCTCTAAAGGCCAGCTCAGACAGCGTCGTACGACACAGCCCGACACAATTTGTTGTCCCGTCGGGTCTGTGTGAGTTAAACACAGACATGATGTTTTGTGTTGGGGGCAGTCGCGCTGTAGAACAGCTGTCTTAATAAACATGTGTAATATTTCTCACGACAGCCTAAGACTGTCCCCAACGATAAACCACGTTGGACTGGACATTACAGCTTTTTCTCCCATGACTCCTAGTAAAACAGAAAATATATAATGATACCTGTTGAATCTTGTTCCATTCCTTGTCAAGTTCAGCCTTCTCATTCTTTTGACCTCCTACTCTTCGTGTTTTCCGTCCGTCAGACATTTTCAAGCCAAACTGGAATGCAGCCCTGAAAACAAATAGTAAACATGCACCTAATGGGATGCATCTCTGGGCATACTTAAGAAGGATAAAAAATTATGCCGACGTTCTGAGAAAAAATAAAGGGAAAGCGATGCAGTGGAAGACAGTGAAACCATCAATCAAAAAGGATTGGTATGTGTATGCATGTGTGTCCAAAACTTAGTCAAAAAAAGTAAACAACAGGTTGATAATAACTTTGGTATAGATATGTAAATTCATGAAGAAACTCAATGATTTAAATTAAAATTTAAGACCAATCAATATATTTAATCAGCAGGGAACAAAAAAATGGAGGAGAATAGAGCCCTATATTTATGGCAGAAATGACACATGAAGAAGATTTTTACTTATTTATTTATTTCATGGCACATATAAAAGATCTTACTTTGGCATGGCCTCTTTGTTGTTCATATAACTACTGTATTCATCCTGGGTCTCAAAGTCCCAACGGCTCAGCGGTCCTTTCTTGTTACCCTGAAGATTGTAGAAAAAAACATCCACAGAAGAAAATACTGAGTCAATAAGCATTTATACAAAGACAACAAAATCGAATGACATCCACAAAAGTAAATACTGAGTCAAAAAGCATTCATACAAAGACCAGGGGCGGATTTGGGGGGGGGGGCGGCCTTTTGGGAGGTTAAAAAAAAGAGAAAAAAAAGAAAGAAAAAGAAAAAAATGATAGCCCACAACGATTCAAATATTATTTTCGGGCATCTAGAACACAAAAATTTAGCGGGGGCATGCTCCCTAACCCCCTAGGACATTGTTGGCTCGATCTGCCCAAATTTCGGGCCCCCCCCTTTTGGACATCTCTGGATCCGCCCCTGAAGACAACAAATTTGAGTGACTGAACGGTTAAGACAGGGGCGCCACAGCCTACAGCCATGATATCGGCGCTGATTCGAGCGGCACGCTAACCTATCATGGTTCTGGGGGTGAAACAAGTCCGCTCCGATAACAACTATAAAACGTGGGCACAGTGTACACAATTGGCTCATGTACACTTTAAAGCACCCTGTACATCTTTCGAGAAGGGGGTTACCAGTTGTACTGGTCCATACATTCTCTGTTACCCTGCGGTTATAGATCATGAGGTCATTTGAAGGATGGACCTATGTATACGGCCACTTGAAGAAGACCTTCTGATACCACAATAACTATTAGATAAAATAACTTACCAAGTCCATCTTACTGTAATCTGCTTCATCATCAGAATCATCACATGCATCAATGCTCTCCATTAACCTAACATTGAACAATTTACAATTATTTTCAACATTTCATATATTATACTAGTTATATACATCTCCCTCCCATAAAGACTACTTTTCTGTGGTCCTGGATGAACACCAATCTTTTATCTTTATAATGATTATTTTTCTAAAGACTATTGAGGTGGTCTTTAATTGGAGGGAAACTTTATTTCAATTAATTATGCAATGACCTTTTCTTTCTTTCTTTTTTTTTTTTTTTTCCTTTTTTTTTTTGTTTTTTTTTTTTCCTTTTTCTTTAGGCACACAATACATGTGCCAAGGATTGTCAATAGCGAATATATCACTATCCTACTTGTAGGTGACAATCCCTTACACAAGTCAAACATACACACACGATGCTTTACACAAACTAAATCTCAATATGAGTGAAGTTGTTTTGTCGTGAGAAAAAATCCTGCAACTGGCAGGATTTGAACCCAGGACCCTGGGATTGGAAGGTAAGCATCTTAACCACCAAGCTATTCAACTCCACTCCAACTTTAAAGCAGAATCCCATAATGTTCATGTGATGATTTGAATATAAAAATAATCATTATCAAAATTATTATCACTAAAATATCTATCAAAATTTTCCCTTCATTAATAACTTTTAGTACTTATATTAGATATAGAATATTATTGATTTTATTCTATTTCATGCTCTATATTATTATTTAGACCAAATTGCACAACGCACGCCCAAATATGGGGTTATTTAAATATCCCTTGCTAAAACCAAATCTCCAAGACGATTAATAGACATAGAAGAGGATTATCCAAGCCATACTTACCCAGGATAACATTCTGCATAGCTTCCACCAGGGTCTTCTGATTTACCTCCTCTATGTTTGCCCCGCCTTCACAAGAGGAAGATATATATCAACATTAAATATTTTCTGGTTTGCATCATCCACAACCATTGACATCATTATTATCATGATTTGAAACATAAATCCAAATTATAACATAATCTAACACAAAATCACCATCATTATCATAATCATAATTATTATTATCACTATTACACTGAATTTTACATGATTATGATCAACATGATTTAACATAATTATCACAAGAATAATAATTTGAAATGGATTCTTACCCTCGCTTTTCATCATGTCTCTCTGATGTAGTTCTGAAGTTAAAGATGTAACACAAGGGAGAAATTTACATTTTGTTAATATTTAAAATCTATTTATTGGCCAAATATAATTATCAAAACTGTTAATGTCATACTGGCTTTTTAATTTACTGCTTTCTAAATCATATTCATATTCATATTTGGTTATTTATATAGTGCCTTTCTTTGCAAATACGAAGCGCTGGTCATTAGATCCACATGCTTGAGTGTTGCTGCTGTATTTATTTATACTCCTGGGTGGAGAGAAGCAATGCAGATAAAGTGCCTTGCTCAAGGACACAAGCAAAATGCACAGTGAGGTATTGAATCCCCGATCTCAAGTTTGGGAACCAAACCTTTCACGCTACGCCAAACCGCTTCTACAATATAATACCGTAAATGCTCAAATAAGCGCTGCGGTGCTTATAACATTTTAGGAGGCTTCAATGCAGCACTTATTCGAGAGCAGCGCTTAGCGAAAAAAAAAAAACAGATTTGGTGTGGCACATATTCAAGAGCGGCGCCAATTTCGAAAGCGGCGTTTATTCAAGCATTTACGGTAATTAGTAAAGTAACTTGTTTTTTTCTAAATGACATGACTAATTACAGCATGAATGACTTAACTTGTAATTGTCTTAATAAATATGACATCACAACTTGTCTGAATGACATCATTATTGTCTTAAAGATTAATGACATTGTAACTCATTATTGTCTTAATAATGATTAAAGACATCATAACTTGTAATTGTCTGAAGCATAACTAAAGGATATTTCTTGTCAACAGATGTGAAGGTCCCAGCAAATCTTGACTCTGGCTCAGGTGTTGGCTATAAATAAAAAGAAACTTAAAGCACTGTACAATTCTAAAATATACAGTAAATTCCAAATTATTTCTTTGTTTCTTTATTAAATAAAAATATTATAAAAACACACTACATTTCTAGAAATAACAAACATCCATGGACATATCATAATGACAAAGCCAATACTACACCAGAATCACGTTCAACAACGGAACTCTCGGCTAAGCCTCGCCCTTGTTGATAAGGTCCCACAAAACGACATTAGAGAGCTTTCGATTTGTGCGACGACGCGACGCTAGAACGGAAGCACTTATGCGTGACCGTCTTACCCGGCGTCCTACATTCTCTGCATACATAGATTTAGCCAAATTGCGTTCCAGAATCTACTTGACAAGGTGACCTTAACGTTCTCGCATGCGCAGAAGACATTTAGTGACGTCATTACGTTCTACGTCCTACCGTTGTCGTGCAGTCGAAAGCTCCCTAGTATTAAACATACGCCAACATGTGCGTCTGTGAGACAACATGCATGCTTGTTAGAGACACGCGTACACCTTGCCTGTTCTGATTAGTCATTTGATTGGCACTTCGGAAAAGTCCTGCATTTATGCCAAAAGACTACAGCATGGAATGTATGACCTATGACCTGACCTCCTTACCTTGGCATTTCCATACTTTTTGATGATATTTTGCACAAGATCCCTGCCAGATCCACTTGGTCTTGTATCTTGCATTCCCTAAAAGTAAATCAATGTCATTAATAATTATGTCTATGAAATCATCAAGAGGGCTATCAATGCATTTTGGGACCCTGGGGAAAAAATTATATAAATCCAAGGCATACACAAGCAGATTTGTTTCTTAAGCCTAAGCCTTTTCTGGACTAAGACTATCATGTCACAAATTGTTTTTCAAAGAAAATTTGATAATCTGGACAGGGCTTAATATATAATATTAATATATAATAGATTATAATATATAATATCAAAAAATTTTAAATAACTTTATTTCCATTTATCAGAAAAAAGACAATACAAATCGTACTACAATTCAAGACAATACAAAATTGATAAATAATTAAGTAACAATACACAACGATAAATGGAAAAGGGGTATTCAGAGCTAGCAAGAGCTTTAAGAATGAACAACAAAAAAATATATACATAAAAACAAAACCAACAAACATTATTTATTTATTTATTTTTAACAACTTATGACTTGTAACTGTAGATTGAAACAGATAATGAATTAGATTTTCTGTTATAAACTAATAAAATATAGATATTATTATTAATTATTATTATTATTATTATTATCACCAGTATTTTTGAAATTTATCAGTATAATTAATATTGTTATTGTATATTATAATATATAAATATATAACTATATAATATATATAATAGATTAAAATATGATTTTCATCAACTATAGAGTACAACGCATGTGCCGTCACAACACCAGGTGGCGCCCTTTGTTGTCAACCAGACCTTGTTTTAGCTGTCACACCTGTATGACTTCATAATGATTCAGCCGTTTAGAATAGGCTTTCTGGAATAGGCATTTTAAAACCTAATAATTTACCATCAAAATGTACTAAAAACAAAAAAGTTCACCATATTAGTCATTAGTCATCGAATGTATATTTAATCATCAAATAAAATTTACAAAGAAAAGTTAGAAATTATGTTAGAAACTGGGATCAATGGTTTGTCAGTGGAGATATGGATCCAGTCAACAGAATAGTATCATGTGGTATCGTGACGTAACAACGTTGTACTCTATATCATGTTGATAATACAATACCTCATCTCGATCTTGGGGCTTTTCAAAGTAGCTTCTCGATTTGATATCTCGATCGTCACCACGTTCTCCGCGGTCTCGCATTTTGCTGCTTTTTTCTCGCCTCTCCTCCTTCGTCTTTGGCTTCACAAACGACAAGGCGTAATCCGAAACATCATTGAAAATGCTTGAAGAAAAATCACAACTTAATATAAAACATTTCACAGGATATACACTATAGCCAATCACAGAATAGACCTAAGGATAATTGCATTTCAACAGGATTACGAGGAACAATGTGTGATTACCATCTGTTCCTGTAAGCTTATAGCAATCCACTTTAACAATATCACAAATGAAAAACATATGGGATACTTATTTTACATAAAACAACAGCCTAATATATGAAAGACTTGCCAAAAATACCTAATGATACATTTTCGCATATCAAATTTATGTACATGGTTGTACGGATTAATTATCAATGTTATCGCAGTGATTACAAAAATAGAATACAACTTAAGTTAAGTTTCAAATTAAGTTTTTTTTTTTTTAACTTACTTATCATCATGTCCAGGTAGTTTCTCCTTCATTTCTTCCTTCAATTTTCCTACAGAAATAAATATTATTACAATCCATAATGTTGGGATTATTATAACATTATTATGCTTGAATAAAATGAAATGTAGTATGATTTATATGCAATATATCTTTTTAAATTTCCAATATTATAATTTTCTTTAATAATTAATAATTTATTTGTACAGTATTTTTATTTTTTTATAATAATAATAATATGAATTTATATAGTGCATTTTCAGAATACTGTTCAATACGCTTTACATAAAAATTGATAAAATACAATAAAAACAGGCAGCATTATACGATCAGATTACAAATTGTTATATAGAGAAACTACAAAAATATACTATAATTTATTACATTGACAAATTTGATTAATTTATTATAATAATAACTATTTATATAATGGATTATGTGTTCTACCAGTATTATTTTTGTGATGTATTTTTTATGTATATGCAATATCTTTTTAAAATTTCCAATATAAAAATTGTATTAATAATTAATAATTTTCTTTTACAGTATTTTTAATGTTTTTATATAATGTATTAAAGGCATCATGTAAATGGCTTTTCGCTGTTGGATGATTTGAAATAAAATAAAACAAATAAATATATCATATAGGTATGATAACATTAACACTAAGTCTATACTAACAGTATGCATATTAATCTCTTGGTTCCAAGCTCAATTCCCATCACTATTCCCCTTGTGTTTCAACATAAGGGCTTTCAACGAAAGTTTCAAAACAAACCGTCTTTCGCAATAAGACGCTTAAGCTGTTAGTCGATGTGCATGTTGAAGTAGGCAGTACACTCTTCGGAAAACAGTAATGGATTGTCTCCCAGTATACTGCCCAATCATAAGCTACAACATGTTGAATGGGGCCAGCATACAAAAAAAATGATAAATCAGGGCTAGTCTACCATTAGGACTACAGTACTATTTTTCATTAGGAATAGTACTAATATTTTTTATTTGGGATAGTACTTCTGTATCATGAGGGATAGTAAAACTATATCATTGAGACAGTACTACTATATCATTGAGACAGTACTACTATATCATTGAGACAGTACTACTATATCATTGAGACAGTACTACTATATCATTGAGACAGTACTACTATATCATTGAGACAGCTATATCATTGAGACAGTACTACTATATCATTGAGACAGTACTACTATATCATTGAGACAGTACTACTATATCATTAGAGATAGTATAAAAGTAAATAGTCTGCTTACCCTTTTCTTTCTTCTTCATCTTTCTTCCCCGTTGGCCTTGACGCAGATATGAAAGGATCTGAGTCAGTTTGTTGATCACGATATCGTTCGCAGTAAGCGTTGTATGTGACTGGAAGTAAAAACAAAAATTGAATTAAAAAATACAATTGTCGTCGACAACCCTTAAACACAAATCATGTGTCATTGCTTCTGTTTATAAAGCTCTTTCCAGACTCTCAAATTCTCTTATATATAGTTGACATGCCTATATATGGTCATGATATCATGTCATCATGACCATATTTAGGCATGTGTTTGACCAAACACTGGTCAGAATACAAAAACATGATAGTCTTGAGATCATAACCATATATAGGCACACCATGACCATATATAGGCATGTCATAACTATATATAGGGATACAACAGTTTTTTGGCCTGTAAATTATCAAGTTTAGTTTTCCTTGAATTTGATGTATTTGTTTGTGTGTCCAGCTTATGCTAACATATTCACCTCCATAGTCGGACAGTCGGCTTTGCTTCGTATCACGGTAGTTGGGATATCACTTTCTGCGTAGTCATCGTCAAGTTCAACTTTGTACGCCATACGTCCGGGCAAAAACAGCTCATTACGTTCTGGTGGCCGCTTCTTGAATAATACACGGTACACATTCTTACCTGAGGACAGAAATTTTAAGTCATCGTTTTTGATTCTATTGATTTCTTTTAACGGAGTTGAAAAAAGTCAACTCACTTTTGAACTAAAGTTTTTAAAAAAATAATTCAAAGTATGTGATCACACTAGGAGTATACAGTAGTCATCCAATCTTATTCGGTGTTTAAAAAACAAGTTCTCGTAATCTCGAAAGATCCGATAAGGGCAGTATAATAAAGGCAGTAGTGTATATTGGCTCTTACAATAAAGATTCATTAATCCAAATAGCCAGTATACTCCCTCTTCCTTAAGTGTTTGGTCCAGACTGTGCCCATTTATACTACTGGGTAGAGACAGACAAACACAGATAAAATTTCCAGGGACAAAAGCGACTTGCACAGCGAAACCTTCAAACCCCTAACAATGAGGTTGAGAGTCCGAGCATCAACAGCAGCAAATATATGGCGATTTTAGTCATTCATCAATAAAACAAACTAATTTAAACTATATAGGTAGTCACGTACCACGCCCACATGCAAGATAGAACAATGAGGCGAGTTATTCTTCTACCTTTACCTTTGACCTTTTTGTATAGAGTACTTACCCAATCTTGTCTTGAAAGAAATGTGCTCATCTTCAACCACAGCTTTCTTTACCTCCTTTGATTCCCTAAAATATACATTAATTTTAAAAATCATATATATATATACAGTATATATACATATTGAAGAGTGGGTTTGCATGTATGCTCCAAGTAAAATAAATTGCAAAAGCAATGAAAAAACGGTGTTCATATACATATGAACATTTTTGTCTAATGTTTACTAAATTTTCACATTGAAGCCAGGTGAAGTTCACCTTGTGTGTGTAAGGGTGGGTGGGGTTGTTGTGCTCTATTTTTAAATACTCTGAACATTAATATATATAAAACATACATTGCTTCATCCTTGGTTGCATTCTGGAAACTCTCTTCCATCACTTCTTCCTCTTCTCTCTCTTTGTGTGTAATCTCAGCTCGTACCTGCAAAAAAGTTCAAAGTTCAAAGTAAGTTTATTGTCAATAATACAACAGGTAAAATTGAAATTCAAAAAAGAAATAAAATATTAAAAAAGAATGAAAACACCAATAATTCGGAGATTGAGGACTCATTATTATTATTAGGCAGTATTAAGTATTATTTACGAGAAGATTTGTAAAAGATTTTTTCACTTGATAGGGAAATGGCTATTTGTTACTTAGACATGTAAGTATTCACAATATACATTATATTAAACTATCATTAGTTCAGTTTAGAAAACAGAAGCAATAGACACACTTTACAAAAGGAAAAGTGTGAACTAAATCGGGAAGTGAACATCCCTACCCTTGATGAGTTCCAGGTTCCCTCTGACCCAGACAGATCGCACCTGAAAGGGTCCCATCCAAAGATAGGTAAAATATAATACAGAAAACTAACATTCTAATAATAAATACTTAAAAAATAACTAACAAATAAATTTAAAAAAAATTAATAAATTAGCATATACCCATGTTGAATGGGGAAGTTGAGGAGGCAATCGTTGTGGATGCTATGGTTACCATGTCATTATTTTTCTGAAGGACGGGTTTGTAGTTTGTTTCAAGTGTCTTGCTGAATTGTCCTTGTGAGGAATTATTGTGCAGTTCGATGAAGGGTGGATCCAGAATGTTTCAAACGGGGGGAAGTGGGTGCACAACAGTTTCAGATTAATTCAATAAGCAAATAGCACATATATTGCATCAACATTTTCAACGAATTAGTGGCAAAATGGGGCGGGCAGCCCTTCCCTGTGACTTCCCTACTGGATCTTCCCCTGTTGCTTTGGGCTACCCTCTTGTTAGTGAAAGTACAGCAATATACAATAGGCCTAGCCTTGCTGGGCATGAGAGAAGTGTTTCTCTTGAATATAGATGCATGTAAGGCTATGTATCCGAATTACTGACATTCATTCAAAAAACCTGTAGATACACATTGTCCCGATATGCTTACGTAAATTCAATGCATTGAATGGTGGAGCTGGCTTGACCATAAACTTAAAACTTTAATGCACTATCCAAATTGACCTGGATTCCAGAGATAGAGAATAGGCCCTATCTATGCTAACTAACCTGAGCATAGGCCCCTAGGTCTAGGCCTATCTCGCATCGACATCATAGGCTAGGCCACACCTAGGTCTGTGCCTAGGCCTAGGCTTGTGTAGGGCTAGCCTGTATGATTAGGCCGAGGTTATATCATGGCTTGAGCCCAGGTGTATCTTTATTTTTACCTGATGGATTTATAAAACATGCAATTTATTGATGTTTTGAGCCATAAGACTACAATGTATTCAGTATAATGCAATGTGTACTCTGAAGAAGTACGGGAACATGCTTGTCACCCATTTTGTTGACGAACATAAGAAGTACTGCGCGGTGACGTAATGAAGCTGCAAAACATAGACTGGTTCTTTTACAGCCTGCCGCGATCGTTTTTAGACCTAAGCATTGCGGTACAGAATAGATAGGATTAATTGCATTTACGTGATGTAAGCAACTTGCAAAATATGGCGAAACAGGCACTAATTTTCGGTGGTTTTTGGCTGTTTTTTCGTTGTTATCCAATATCCAGCCTTGAACAGTAGCGTAATGTGGTCGTGACATATAGAAGCCCCAGTGTTTGAGATATGAGCACATTCCTGCCAGCAGTTTCAGAGGAGATAGGTGAAGTTACGTGAAGCCGATTAGCAGAATTAATATATAGATGAAAATTAAAAGAAACACATCCATACTTTTCTGCACTGGTTGCAAAATCCATTTGAACTACATGGACAAAAGCCTTCATTATTAAGTTTTTTCATTAATGGAACTGTAGAGTAAATACGCAGCTTACCTTCTGCAAAAGGGCGTAATCCAGACCCTTCACCAAATGAGTATGTTCCATATCACCACCAAGGTATTTACTCTCTTCAATCAATTGTTTACGCCGATTAGCAGCAGTGTCACCACTAACAAACAACAAGAAACACATGCAATTATGACCTCACTGCTAATTACAATAAAGTCAGGGACACACTGCATCGTACACGTTACTTAAAGCTTTATTAAGAGACTTAGTTTATAAAGCATAACTAGGTCAACTGAAAAGGTTACCAAGTCTGATAACTGGGTCAACTAAACATGTTACCCAGTTTGATGAAGATAATATTTTTTTAACTATCTAACAACTTTTTTTATGAGCACATAAATATGCTCATCAACAAGAAAGTCTTTTAAAATTATGATAAAATACCTAGGGAAGTACATATAATGTAGCATAACAAGTCATCAAAAGCAGCACATCAATGATTAAAACCTGTGATAATTGTGTGCAATGAACCATAGAGATTTTTTGTCCGTGATTTCTCCACACCCAACTAACAGCTAGTGTAAATATAAATGAATTTAAGAGAAAATGTAAACAAGGATACTTACGACTGTACATCTGGGGCAACAGCGCGATAATTTGCAGTGGTACTAACAATTTCTGTTTCTTCGTAATCTGTCTTTCCCTCACGCCGCTCTCGTGCCTGTAACACAGGTTTTCAGAATTGGTTACAAAATGTTTTCATCTTAAATGTACAGCCAATGCCAGATTCAAGGGAAGGGTGAAAACTGGGCTGCCCACCCCTGAAGGTTTTTCCAAAAAGAAAATTTTAAATAAAATTATAATCATTGAGAATGCCATCTTGCCATCTAGAGGTGCCATAATCATAAAATTTCTTACCTCACTCCCAACTATTGTGGGTCTGAGGTGGTATAGCTTTACCCCACTCATTTGTCCCTCTCTGGGTCCCCAATATTTTGAATTCCTGGATCTGCCACAAGTCTCAATGTTTACCAATCAAAAACATTCTTGTAGTGACAGTCCTCAAAGCGATAATTTTGAAGAAGCTAATATATCTTTCATTCATGATATAAGGGTTGTCTTAAATGTTTACAAATTGCATTAAGATTCGCCCGTTATCTTTTAAGTTCAAAGAATTCTTACTCTGTCCCTGTATCTCTTGGCAAGCTCAGCTTCTCTCTCTGCTTCTTGCTTCTTCAATTTGGCATAGAATCTATGAAAAAAAAGAATTAAATATGATAAAAAAAAAAAGGTTGCATGCCCATATATAGTCATTATGTGACTATATATGCTCATGATGTGCCCATATATAGTCGTTATGTGACTATATATACTCATGATGTGCCCATATATAGTCATTATGTGACTATAAACGGTCATGATTTGATTCAGGCATGTCACAGGTTTTTGTTACATTAGATAAATAAGATCAAATTGCATACTATTCAATTGTTGACGATCAAGTTTTATCAACTGATTTTATGTTGATTCTTGGTTAAAAAAAAATCTGCTCTAAATAATTGAGACATTTATAGATTCCAAAATTTAGTGATAAAAAAAAGAATGTTCATAGTAAAAGGTCTGAAAATCATGACAAACTGATTGACGTATCTGTGAATATCAATAATAACTTTGCAAAACATAAACAATTGTAATTAAAAAATAATAATTTTATAAATTATTATAAACATGTAATAAACATGATTTCTGTTTCTGAAAATTTTTTAGAATGGTACGATAATTTGTTGCCAAGTTGCAAACAAGCAAATCTTTAACTTTATTTTTCTTGGGAAGTGAAAATTTCAAGTTATGTTGTATTGCCTTAGAACGGCCGGACAGTACATATTTAAGCTGAAACACAACTAAAGTGTCACCTTCATCAAGAAACATATATTTGCATTAATGACACTAACTATCAATCATTGAAACCATTTACCATTACAGCACTACGTTCTGGTATAAAGATAATTTGTAGCTTATTATTGAAATGAAGTTTTTGTATAACAACAACACGTGTAAAGTACATACATTTTTCGTTTTCTGCGTTTAGCTCTTGGATCATCCTCTTCATTGTATTCCCTGGGGAGGCTAGAAAAACAGAAAAATATATTTGAAAATGACCCCTAAATTAACTGGTAAAAATCAAAATGTCTGAATATCAACAAGTAAGGAAGAAATATTTATTGCTTTCCATGAATCATTACAAAGAAAAGATAAAAAATGATTTGATCATCGTGATGAAAATAATTAATACAAAAAACAAGATCAGAAAATCTTCATAAGCTCTTACCATCCATTACATAAATAAAACATGGAAAGCCGAGGATAACCGTTTAAACCCGAAAGCTTGTTTCAGAAGGGTTTCCCCCACCCAAAAAATAAATGAAAATTAAATCAGTGTTTTGTACAAAAATAACTAATTTGATCCTTTTAGTAACTAATGTTATGTCTTTTAATATTTAAGTACGTGAGATGTAGTTTGTGTGTTTTTTTTTTTAATTGAATAAAAAAAAAAGATCAAGAATTAAAAAACAGGAAAGAATACACATCATTATAAAAAAAGACAAGAAATGAACCTTGGTTTGTGTTCCCTTGACTTTGATGAAGAAGACGACGACAAGGACGATGGTGGTGCTTCACCTGGTGTTGCACGTGGTGTCATAAGCAGACGACGGAAATCATCATTCGTCATCTGTGATCCTCTGAAAAGTAATAAAAACAATTGAATAATATCCATAATACAGAGCCTACAATACAGTTAGTAGTACCAAAATAGGCTATAATGCCCTGTCACACTATTATTCATTCAACTTGTGACATGCCTAAATATGGTCAAGATGACATCACATCATGACCATATATAGGCACATCATGACTATGGCCATACATCAGTTTTTGTCAAAGAAAATTTGATAGTTTGATCAAAGTTTTAATAAACCAATAGTGAATATTTTGCAACAATCTAGTAATTCATAAAAGATAAGATAAAAAAATTTCTTCACACAGTATCATACAGTACTACCATTTCATAGAATATTTCAGATAATAAAAGATTAGGAAAAATCAATGTATGACAGAGAACAGGGTCACATCAGTACAACTTTCTGCTAAGCTCCACCCCTTGGATACTTTTGTTAAGATCCCAAAACGACAGTGTAAATGTACGTAAACATGTGTATTTGAGGGGACAACACGCATGTTTGCTGACATGCGTATACTTCTTGCACTGTTCTGATTGGTCAGTTGTAAAATATAATTGACCGCTCCAGAAAGCTCCATTACCGCCGAAGTTTACATGAATGTAAATCTTTTTTGTAAGACCTGATCAAAAAAATGGCAACATAATAACTTACCCTGGTTCAGTGTCTTCAGACATCCTCCGTTCCATCATCGGAGGCAATGGGTTTGAAAACGGCTCATCGCCTTCTATTAAAGAAAACAAAAGTTATTAGAAAAATTATCATTTTATCAGCTAAACCTAGCCCAGATAAGTTTAGCTTATCATGGCGCTATTTTATATATGACTAGCTAGTTAAGCTATTCCACATAGCCAGCCAGCTAGCCGAAAAAAAAAATAAAATAAAATAAAAGTGTCCTCTAGCCCAGGTAAACTCAGGCTAAATTTTATCTGTTTTGGTCACAAACATTTCAACCATGATGTATGATACAAATAAGATATGAAAATGCTGATTTTTATCAGCATTACGTAGCATATTATTAAGACTGACTAGCCTAGAGCCAGGGTATTCAACCTTTTTAAGCTGGCCGGAAAATGATTTTTAGCAATGTTGCACGAGCTGAATCAAAATCTCTGGCGGGCCGGAGTTTAAATGTTTTCAGTCAAAACGATGCGTTTAATAATACTTAATAATAAAACTCAAAATGGGTGGTGCAATCCCAAATACACATGTTTTAATTTCGTAATTTTGTAGGCAAAAGCTTACATGAAATTTGAATTCTTAGAACAAAGCAAGATTCCTCTTACCATGGACCTTATTAATAGGTCCATGCTCTCACTTGACAAAATTCTGGTTACTGATGATAAAAAAATATAAACCTGTTTGTCAACTAAAAGGGAACATTCATAATATTATTAACGGATAACATTCCTGAATAATATAATGATATGCATATCGTAAGGCAACAACATGAAGCTGGCTAGTACAAAGTAGTAGGACTCGAGGAGTGATCCCAACCACCAAGGAACTGGGTCTTGTTTTGGTTGGGTTCGTGTCACAGCAGGACTTTTTTCTCACGAACAAGAACTACTCCACTCCCTATTATAAGTCTCATAAAAAAATAAAAGGCCTAACTCAATTCTCGGCTTGGTCAAGTGCATGTCTAGCTTGCCGACTACTCACGCTGTAGGCCTAGGCGCCTAGCTTACGCTGAATAGTCCACCTAGGCAAGTCAAGGCGTTCTACTAGCCTGCTTGCTACTGCAATCTAACCTTAACTAAGCCCTGCCCTGGCCTAGGCGGATTCTACTCTTCAAACGCAGGCTAGCGAACATGATATACGCAACGATTCTGGATCAATTCAGCATTTAAATCCATAGAACCATAAAGAAATTATATCAAATTGTAGTTACTTTCAGGCATCTTGAAATTTGTTTAGTTAATTCAGCCGAAAATACGAACTTTGAACAGACAAAACGAGACAGTCCTGTAAACGTTACAGGTTTAAGATGAAACAATTAAAATAGAGGGCGGCAGACTGACATTTACGGTTATCAGCCAGGCCAGCTTGACGCTCTGATCGTTGGTCGCTGTTAGGATATGCTCTGATATTCTTATCTATATTTACATATGTTATATATTACTTAGATTTAATAGTGAAACCAATAGTTATAGAGGGGAAGAAACTCTTCATTAGTTTAGTGGTTAGAGTTAGTGGTTTATTGATTGATGCTAAGACAGGCACCCAAGAACCAGGGATGTTATGAACTAAGTCTCTATCCTGCATTCCAACATGATGATGCCGATATCCAAATGCTTATTATTAACACTTGTATATATGATGTACCAGTCAGTATAATAAACACTTTTTAGACTACTTCTTAAAGTCATTAGTCCGTTATTGTAGATACAATCCGTTTGTCAGCATTCTCTTATTTACTGTAGGCCTACTGTATGTGTCGTAAGCATGACTCCACCTACACAAATTATACAGTCGCCTTCGTCCAGTGTTCAGGCAGTATTCAGTATTAAGAGTATAAGAAGCTCTATATGGGGCGGACCTAGGTTGGGTGCCAATAAAGTAAACCAAGACATACTTAGAGCTAAATACATTAATCATGTAATGAATTTAGATAAGCATAGATGTACAAACCTTATGCTAATACAGTCTAAATAGTCACCACGCTAAACTGTTCTCTAGTTTCAAGACTTGTACTGATATAAAGTTGGAAATTGGTTCAATCTTTGAAAATTCATGCCTTGGAGTTGCATCCGATATGTGTTGGGTTAACGATTTCAAAGAGTTACTTCTTGATTCTTAGGTTTCTTTTTGGAATAACGAAATATTAAAAAAATCGTCACTTTCTGAATATTTTTCAATTAAGAGCAGTCCGAATATGGAAAAATATTTACTTTTACCAGACAGATTTTATGGGTGCAAGCCTAAATTACCAAATACTCTAGCTCCATTAGGACATAATGAGTACCCAATAGTGGATGGCACTTGCCAATTGTGTAATAATGGTGTTGAAGATGTAAAACATTTTTTATTCACATGTAATCGACTAAACACCATTAGAATATGCTTTAGAAAATAAGCTAATACTGATTGCTTAAATGTATGGGAGTACTTTATCACCAGTAACCTTTGTAAAAAATTAAGTATTTTTCTTGGGGGAGATGTGCATTGTGACTATAATTATGATGTTCATGATATTTTTGATAAATTTTGCAAACCTTATGTTAAGAGAGCATTGAATGCTAGGAATGATTTATTAAGCTCTAAAGTGCAAATTGTTCTGGAGTGGGAAAAGAGGGAGGGTTTGCTCTGTTGCGGACGATGGTTGTTCGCTGTTTTGACTTTTTAGAACTTCTTTACACTTTGTTCAGCTGTAGTGACGGGTCTCTCTTTTGTAGTACCAGTGCGGGTGTACATTCTTGGTTGTAACAGCCCTGTTGCGACCAGCCGGGCTGATGAGTGTCTCTGGTGGGCGTTCCGTCTTCTTTACGACTGTTGCAGGAGAGAGACGTGTCATCTAGAGACTGATGATGTTCTTTTTGTCATAGGGAAAATAGAACTATTTTCTCTATGTTTTAGTTTTAGCTGATTTGATTATCTTGTTGTTTAGATGTCTTTCTTTTTTATTGTAATTTATATTTTTTTCTTGTTGTTAAGATGCACCACCGTGATGGAGTGCCACTGATTCTAAAGTGCATACCCAAATAGATTATTTTTATTTTTATTCAGAACTCACTCTAAGAACAGTGACATACACCTGCACGGTGGTGCGTTCATAAAATCATAATACAATATACCCGGTAGTAGTACAATCAAGCGACAATTATACAAAGAACAAAAAGGTTGCTCCTGATGTCGGTAAATTTCAGTCTGCCGCCCTCTATAGTAATCAAACTGTTAAAACTACAATATTGTTACGTGATAAAAAAAAATATAATGAATTGTATCTTCAAAATGTTTATTCATGACAATCACAAAATCAAGTAAGAATGTGGACACGCTTATGAGTGGATATTAAAAACTCTTTATACGTGAAGATGACATTTATTAAAACATGATTACTCCCCTCTGTAAGTTCCGAAATTGGATTTTCCTCTTAAAAGTCAATAATTCTGTCAATTGTCGATTTAGTGAATACATTCCCCTAATGGAAAAGAGGCGTTATGTAGCATAAGTTTCTGTGTGATGCAGGACAAATAAAACAAATATTGGTATTCTATTAACTTCCACTTGTCAAAACTTTTATTCAGTATGAAATATTACGTGCAACACTGAGACATTTGTTCGAAATCATATCAATGTTGGTATAGAATAATTTTTAATAAATTATGTTTGAACCAAACATGTCATTGCTTGCTGACTGATATCCAGCAGATAAAAACAAATACAATGTTTTTTTAAAAATATTATTATTTAATATATTATAACTATGCTCAAGTATGTGTTTTCCCATAACACTTTACACTGGTCACATGACTTAAAAATTCAGTGGTGGCGCTAGCAGGGTTCAGTGGTGGACCCAGGGGGAGGGCAGGGGAATGTTTTCCCCACCGCCCACATCGTTGGACACTACTATGAAGGTTATCGGACCAAAATAACATATAACTTATTTTTTACTGACAATCCATAAAATGTAGTCTAAAAAGCAAAATTTAGGTAATACTAGGTAAAAAAAAATTTCTTCCAGTGAACCACCCTACCAGGGATTTTTATTCCGGGACACTGACTATGGCTCTAGTTGACGCCTTTTCATAGACGAGCTCTGCATTTTAGTTATAATATCCTCAACACACCAAATTTTTTTCAGAAATATTTATGTGTTCAACTGCAAATTTATACTGTACTATTGTTTATCTGTCAAGGAAACAATACAATGTATAATTATAATAAATAAAATAAATAAATAATAATGATAATTATAATAAAATAGTAATATTATAGTACTAATATAAATACATAAAATACTTTCAATTATATGCCAGGTATTATTAAATAATATATAAATACAGTAATATATTATTATTAATTACATTTAAAAACTTTCTTATTATGAATGAAAAAGGAAACAAAATACAGTAAACAGTAGAGTTGATTTTTAAAAAATAATAAACAATATTTATTCAATAGGTTGTATTCCGTGCAAGTATATTAGCATACTATGTTAAATATTATCAATCCCATGATTACAATACAGTACTACTCTTTTATCATACAGTACATTCCACAGATGCTCATTGATAAAATGAGAAGGTGGTACAAGAATATTTTTATCTACTTTAACATATAACTTTTTTGATTCAAAACTTTCCAGTGTGGTTGGGAGCTTAAGCTTTTTTTTTGGGAGGATAGGAACCCCAGTCCCCTATGCACCCCTATGGTACGCCACTGAATAAAAATAAAAGATTCACCAATCACAGTAAATCTTTGCCGCCATGAAACAGACTCAATTACACTGAAATATATCTACAGCTATCTGTGTTACAACAAAAATCTGTATTTAGAAAAGTTTACATCAAGGAATGTGAAAATAATGAGGCTGGCTAAATCCAATTCTAGAACAAATCCCATTATAAATTAATACCACAGTGCATAATAGACTTTAGAGACAAATGCATTGTTTCTCAGTTAGAGACAATGCGGATGTATATTATCGTGATGTTTTTATGTATGTTGAACTGTTGGGTGTTATGCTTTGTAAAAAGAGTAAAGTTCTGTAAAAGAAAACGGGTGATTATAAATATGTTATTTTACTATATGAATTTTAGTATCAAATTAATGTTGAGCCCTGTCCAGACTATCAAATCTTATTTGATAAAAACATGTGACATGCCTAAATATGGCCATGATGACATCACCACAAAGAAAATTTAAATATGTGAATTAAAAAAACCTCCTTAGTTCCTTATTGCACAGCCTGGATCAAAGTTCATGAAAAATACAACAAAAGTGTACAAGATACCAAAATATTGAAAAGTCCTTTAAACTTAGAATACTAGAAAAAGTATACTACATAAAAAATATGATATTTGAACTGCCTGTCAATATGTTACTCTACTTATAAAGGTCTGTTCACATTACCATCAAGTATGTGACAAATACCTTTGGCCATGTTTATACATGGGTGAGATATGACATCTTCATGCCCAAATATGGCAACATCACAGATATTTGTCACCAAAAAAAATTGATAATGTAGACACGTGTTAATGAAAAGATAAACATATTCAATTCATTTATAATAGTGTACTCAATTGATGTTAAATACTTCCAATAAGATATCATTATTATAAAAGACATTTTCGGTGATGACAGTATTTGGTGGATTAGTGTATGTTTGCCCGCCAATTTGAGACCATCTTTAGGACCTGAAAATGTACGGTGGTTTTGGGGTTTGGTCACTGTCCAATTAGCGTGTTTGCTCTGTGTGAAAATATTGAAGATTGTTGGTTCTTTGAATAACTGGTCTTGGCATTAGAGGGGTCTCAAATTGGAGTAATTCACAGTAAAAAAATATAAATCACCAACTCTTGAGCTGAATGAACAGAGTCAAATAGTACAGTATAACAAAATACAGTCTTTAGTAATGATAAGCAAGTTCAAATATATTGAAGAGACACAGGTACTGCAGTTAAACCTACAAAATGATAATTTTGTACAAGCTTACTGTGTCATGACTACACTCATTAAAAATGGTAATCAAATATGGAACATGCCATTTGTCGTCTTTTACATTAAATGGTTTACAAGGGTACAACTTAATGGTACTGGTAACTAGAGCATGTTGGCTATTAGAAGGCAAATACTTTATACAATGACTGGTAAATATTATTGATGTAATAATATATGAAAATCAATTGGGTGCAGCTATAATGTATAATGTTTACATGATACATTCAATAAAGTACTGTTTGTGATACATGTATATTAAACCTGTCCAGAACTTTAGGATTGAATAGATGATTATTAATCAAGAAATTCAATGTACAATCTGTGTCACTACTCTTTCACTATTGGCTTTCCTTGCTGACATCTCTCTCTTAGATTTGAATGAAGCATGGGGAGTAGGCTGGGGGAGGGGGAGGAGGGGTTTGGAGATAAATCCCTATGAAGGCAAATTAGTTTCACAAGTGGGTTAAAATACTAAATAGGACCATGCATTTTCCATTGGAATAGGGATATAGTTCCATATTCTTAATTTCTTTTCAGATCAAATCCAGTGACCACCAATGGCACAACCAACCTACAAACTTACTCTCTCTACGTTCAGAATGACATTTTAAGGCTACATAAAACCTGCAAGTTCACCTAAACACGTCATCTTAAGATATGACAGTGAACACGGCAGATTAAACCCTGCTTAGCCTGTTTCTTCTTCCTCAATATGAGAGGTCAGCCTTACAAACCTTTCCTCTTTTTAAATTTGTCGAAAGGCACATTAAATCCAACATAATCCCTCTTTCCAGTGAATGAGTGAATACCATTTTCCCCTTGATCCATTTCTGCTTCCTCAACTAAATCTAACCATTTCCTAGGCCATTTCATACAAATTATGGCAGTGATGAGACTAAATACCCCTTTCCTCTCCTCATACTCAATTTATTGGTTCACTACACTACGGTCAGTTTTGAATAATGCATGCTTTACCATCATAATTTACATCAACCTCCACTCATAAATAATACATATAAGTGAGACCCAGTAAAAATGCTACACAAAAATGAATGACTTCACAAAAAGCAATGAAAAAAAAAAATGAAAAGAAGGAACAGATGTGTCGGTGCAAGTTCAACATTTGGATATACAGTAATTTCAAAATCAACCATTTTCATTGTTAACACAATAATCATTAACAATATTTCACAATTAGTGTAATATTTGTCATTTTATGCAAGTCCCCCATCTGTCCTGTTGCTTAACACAATTAATTGCAAACAAAAACCTCTATGCAATCCCCAAATTTTGGAACTTCAGGGCTTCACTTACAGGACACACTCCGGGGGATTTGGATGGCCCCCTTGTCAATGCCCACTTATTCTCCCATCAGGAAAATCCCCCTCACCCACTTTTTTTTTTTCAGGGGTCCCGTATCTAGACACTGAAAAGGAGATTACAGGACAGTACCATCACAAATAAGCCAATTCATAGTTCAAACATTTGATGCCCATATCAAGGTTTTCAGCTGCATTTAAACATTTTTCTTACTTTTCTTCTCCTTTATATTAATTATTCACTTTCAATTGTTTGTTTTTATTATGTACTAATCTTGTATTCTTTTTATGCATTTTGGCACTGTAGGCCTACTGCACTATATATTTTTTTATATTCATCTGCCAAGCAATACAATTTTCTGTATTCTTTATATGGAAAAATAAAATTACATGAATCTTGATTCTTTCTTGAAGGTCAGTTGACACACAACATAGGTTTAATACAGATTGACCTTGGATATGGGCATGCGCAGTTCAAACTACGAAATAGCTTATTGAGATCATAGATGAATATGGACTTGGATTGTTCACACTTCAAAAATACAACTTTACTATTCAACATAAAGAGTTGTCAGTCACAGAGTATTCATTACCACCATAATTAATACATAATTCATATTTGGCAACGTTCCATCAACCTACGTAAAGTATAGTCACACTCGGAGACAGTAAACGGCACAAAAATAGATTACATTATATTTAATATAATATATTCAAACTTACATTGCATTCAAAAATATTTTGGTGTGTTGTAGGAATCATTATATTGTCATTGCTAAATAATGCTAAATATCACTTGATTGCAGGGGCGCCCTTTGCACTCATCTTTTGACAATGTGAGTCAAGGTCTTTTCAACTCATGTGGTCAGCAAAGAGCACATAATAGAACTACAAACAAGAGGTCCGACTCCTGTGTTTCTTGGGAATGCTATCCAATTTCAAAATTACTGCCATGAAGGGCGTGTCCTTCAAAAGATGAGCTTTTTTTAATGTTCCATTGCATGCATACAAAATGAGGGCAGTCGGAGCTTTTGCATTTCTATACTCTTTGCTGTCAGCCAATAATCACCTTTCCATTTGCCTTATCAAAATTCTTCAATATTAGTTTTTTTTTGCTTTCTCATATTTATCTTTGCACACTCTGCATTGCATCGCATCGGCCCTTGGTCGATCACTATTATGACAATGTCGTTATTATAAATAATAATAATAATAATACCATCTATTCAGTGATTATATGTACTGGATGCAATCTACCATCTTTACAAAAAACATGATTACTGCACTATTTCAGCATAAGTATTAAACATACGTAGCCTAAAATGCCATCACTACAACAATAATTAAATATCTAGCATGAATATAAAAAGTCGATTTCCTTGGAAACAAAAATTGAAAGTATACAGTAATAACACAATAAATTCTATAAATACCACAAAAAGAAAGTTTTGTACAATATATCATTTATAATATTGTTTGAATAAAATATGTAACTTAGTATTTTAATAATTCATTCGCAATACCTCATGTGATAATGAATATTTACTGGGTATTTTATGGCATTATACAATTTTGAAGGTTAAAAATTTTAACATAACATAATTGTGATGAGTTTTTTTACATTAATAGAATTTTATAATATAGAAATTATATTAAAATGCACCAAAACTATACAGATAAAGGAATAATTTGATTTTCCCTGCTTTATATGGTTAGTGTTCCAGTAGAATCATTATAGTGGTTATGTAAGCAATTTTTGTCTATAACTTTTAATCTACCATTATTGTCCAAAATAAGTCATCTTTTAACACACAAATCCAAGTTATAGGCCATCAATTTTATTGATTTTAACTATTAAATATAAATCAACTGAATGAAACTGAAAATTCAATACATTGGGATCCGAAAACATTAGGACATAAGTACATAAAAAAATGCTGTTTGAAATGGAGCATTCCGGAATCTCAACCGAACTTAACAGTTGACCAGTCAGAACAGGTCTTGAAACAGTGCTTGTTCTACAAACGCACACGTGTACACTCTCTGTAATTTTGCGATTTTTTTTTATGGGACCGTAGGAACAACGTGCAAGCGACAGTCTTTGCAGGATTGTTCATAATCTGAAAGTGTGAAGCTTCTTCATATTTATTCATGCATTTAACTTGTATAGTGGAACAAAATTACAGGGCTCTTAGTTGAAACCAAATTACTGGGCACTTAGTCAAATTCAGTTCATCCCCCAAATTGAGACCACAGAGTTTGGTCTTCAATTAGAAAGTTTAATTTGTGTTGCAAATTGTTAATGCTAGTTGATACTTTGAAAAGGTGGTCTCAAATTAGAGGGTCTTATAATTAGAGCGGTCTTAAATTGGAGGGCAAACTGTACTCATATTCAAGCCTATCTTGGTGGCTACTATTCGACATAATTATATGCAATGCTACTCATTACGTGGTTGAGGGTCAACAGAGCTAAAGACTACTTAAATGACCTATGACCTTTATTACTAATCTACACAGTACATGTGTCCATATACTAACTATAGTGTACAATCATATTAATATTATATATAACTATATATCACAGACAATAAGTTACACAAAGATATTTATACAATCCTATACAATTCACATACAAGAAAATATTGTGTAATATTTTATATCTTTGACTATTTCGGCAGACGATGCATTACTGTTTTTCGTTGGATAAATATACTTTCAGCACGGACATGGGCCGTCCGAGTCCCTCTCAAATTCATAATGCGGCTTTTCGTCTACTCGTACTATCCTAGACTTGTGCGCATCTGTGGCCGGCGTAGACAATGGTAACATCATTGGCCTGTGCGTTTTAAGTTTATGCGCAAGAGTCATAAATATCGCTATCACATTTTCTGATTCTTTTGAATCCAATGCTGAAGTTTCAAACAGCGGCATGTTGTTTGCATCTGCAAATTTCTGCGCCATTCCGGTTGTGACTAAAACCTTTTCTCGTATGTCACACTTGTTGCCGACCAAAACACGAGGTATATCCGGTGAGAGAGAGTGTCTATCACATTCATCGATCCATGTCGGTAAACTTTCAAATGTACTTAGTTTAGTCATATCATACACAAAGACAACAGCATGAACGTTGCGGTAATAATGTTGTACCATACTCTTGCGAAAACGTTCCTGCCCTGCTGTATCCCATAGTTGTAACTAGAAGAGAAAAAAAAAGCAGAATTCATTATTCAGAATGCAATTAATTATACAATATGACAACCAATCAATACCTGACATACTGTGTAAAATATTCATGGACAATTTGCAGTAGTTGCCAATACACTGACATGCGCTTCATCTCTTTCAGAATCAACACGTCATAATTTCAAGATCTGCTGTCATGGCGAAATCTAAAACCAAAATCAAACAAAGAAAAATCATCCACAGTATATTAATATGGTAAAATGATTTTTATAATCTGTACCCCAGACCACTGCATGGCACCTGGCCCATACGGAGTGTGACACAGGACTTTTTTTCCACCTGGCTTTCTGTCTATTAAGATGGATAAGCGCTCCTGGCAGAACCATCTTGGGTCTGCCCCTGAGCAGCGCCAGTACATGCCAAATGAACGACGCTTACTGTATACTGCTATCATAATCAACAAATTGAAGTTTTCAAATTATCCTTTTATTACTCTGTGAACAAAAGGATTTGTTCATTTGTTTACAGATAGGGATCTATAAAATGTGCAGTACTTAACACAAAGTGTCCTAGTTCGACACTGTTCATACAGTATTATACAATTTTTTTTCACCCAAATATATTTTATGCCCATAGATAGTCATGATGTGCCTATATATACAGTAGATGCTATGATGTGATGTCATCAATATGGCCATGATGCAATGCCATCATGACCATAGGCATGTCACATGTTGTTGTCAATTATGATAGTTGGATGGGACTTAAGGCCACTGTGTCATAATGCATTTTATAGAATGTTTCCTCAGAACTATTGCATCACCTCTCCATTATAGTAAATTATCATTTTCTAGCATTTTATCATAATGAACGAAAGCAATCTTTCATCATTTTAGTGGTCCATGAATAATTGATAATCCAGCTATACCAAACCCCTTGAGTACAAACTCTCTAGAATATTTCAATTTGATGTCATACAAATTAAACCACAAAAATGCAATAACTTTTTAGTGCTACACACAATAATAAATTACACTAATTCTGAGTGGTGTTGTGTTGCCTAATGGTCAGCACATTGTCAGTTGATGAATGCATTTCTGCTCGCTCTGCGTGCTTCCCGATGTATTTCCATCTGCTGATTGTCCGTGGTAGTCTGAGAAGTCACGCTATAATTGAGTAATGATAACAGTTGATATTTTTTATAACTCATTCCATTTATGCATTTTGGTAATGAAACATAATCAGAATAAATGCAATATTCATAAATTAGAGTATGAAATTGAGCAACCATAAGGGACCGTACATACAGCAATTTTCATCACTTTCACAATGAGTACAAAGCATATGTTTTAGGGTGGAGGTTGAAAGTGTAGGCATAACTACTCTTTTATAAAAAGGATTATCTCAAAATGACACAAATCATTTTATTGTGCACACTGTACTTTCAGGGGGTGGGGGGAGGGAGGTCAAAGGGAAGGGTATGTTTTGTACACTCGTATATGATAATAATGATAATGGATGATACCTAACACATGGGTGCTGCTACTAAGTCCCCCGAAAATCTTGGTAAGTTTCCAGCAAAGGAAGGCCTCTCGACTCTATCACAAACAAATAATAATCTCCCGAAAAATAACTACTGTAATCTTCCGAAATTTGTCATATTTTCATGCATGTTATAGCACAGCATGAAAATGTCTCCCGAAAGTTGGTGACGATGGGTTTCTCCATGCATGGTAAAATAACATTAGATGCGTTAAAGAAAACAGTAGCTCATTTACATACAGTAGATCATAATCACAATTAATAACGCATAATAAATATATACTGTATTTATCCTCAAAACTGTATTTTACTAAATTCTCAAACTAATCTAATTTCTTAATGCATGCATTGTAAACTAATGTATTTTTTAAGCATAATAAAAAATATATTTATCCTCAAAACTGTATTTTACTAAATTCTCAAACTAATCTATTATCTCCATGCATGCACAGCATTGTAAACTAATGCATTTTAAATTTTTATTTCATGCAATAGGAATAGGGACATTAACTGTATGAATATCATTATTTATTCCATCATTATTATTCATCATGAACTTTCAGCATACTACTATATTTTGCAGGACTTAGTAATTGGACACCATCAAGTCATTACTATTATAGTATTACTGAAATTTATACTGTAATGTTAAGTACTTTTTTAAAGCGTCATCCTCTATTAGACAAATACAGTACAGCATCCATTATGATCAGTATTTAAGGTCAAAGCGTCAAAGGTCAAAGTAGCAGTAAGATTTATCAATGTAGATTGTCACTTGATTAAATACACTGATAATTTATCATCGCTAATGGTATTTCAATTTTGTGAGTCTTTTCATTTATTATCCCACACACAACACAGTGCTTTTTGTTGTCATGACATCTTCATCGTCACTCCTGGTCCGGTATTTAAATGATCCCTGTTTTTTTAGGATAGCAGCCAAGTGCCTTAAGAGTGACGCTAGCAACATCTTTACTAAAATCACCACTGCCAATAACCACCACATGCCCTAAAGCACAAGTTCTTAATTAGAAACCTGGGCGCAATAAACTGTAATTTTAATATCAATAACTGTACTGTAATAAAATAAACTGAAATTCCACATAAATTTACAAAATTTGTCAATCATATTAGTTTTAATGACATATTTGCATGCTCCCTTGTAAAGTCACATGTCATTGCCTAAAGCCAAGGGTAGCAATTATTCTGTATAGTGTTTCTAGTATCCTGTTTCCTGCAATGCTTCTGTTAATGGTAGGCCTACTGTACTATATATATTCACACTTGCTATTTGTAACAAAGAGAATGCTACAGGATTTGAATTATTATTACTGGTATTGCAGGCCTACATTTATGATGCCAAACACAGAATATAATACTGATCGCCTATAATGAAGAAAGCAAACAATATAATATGATGCATAAATTAAAGATTAATATATAATATTGAATAGCTAAAGCCACACACGTGTAAAGCTTTAACCCAGATTATCAAACTTTATTTAAAAAAAAAAAAAACACCATTGTACGCCCATATACTGTAAAGTCATGATGTGCTTATATGGTCATTATGTGATGTCATCATAACCATATAAATCATGTCACATGGTTTTGTCACATCAAATTTTAATAATCTGGACAGAGGTAAAAAATAATCTTGTACTGTTAGCAGGATGATGCGGTTAGCAGGGGCGCTGAAACCTATAGCCATAATATCGGCGCTGTTTCGAACGACACGGTGGTAGAACAAGTCTTCTTGGATATTAAGGACTATAAACTGATATGCCCAGTGTATACAGTGGCTCATGTGCACTATAAAGAACCCAGTAAATCATTCGAGACAAGTAGGGGGATACCCCGGTGTACTGGAACAGACAGCCCCTGGGTTGACGACGAGAGTTGCTGTTGCCGGGTTACCAGGTAGCACATGACAGGAACCTTAGGGGCGAAGAAAGTAATTGATCGAGTCCCTAGTCCACATATCAAGTGCCCTGAGAATCTTACATTTGATGGATACTGTATGTGCGCTATATAAATAAAACTACACTATTCATCATACAGTACAGGTAGCAACAACATTTAAGTATTGGTAAGAATATTACACATTTTTATTTTGCAGTCTCTTGAGTCTTTATAATAACGGCCTACAGAACAGTACATTTGTAGGTGATTATTACACTGTAGGCCAGCATAGAGAGTATCATCAGACCATATTTTAGGCATAAACTGTATCAGGGCTTATTATTTGAAAATGGCAGGCAAGGTAAAAAACACACACCTACTGTAATTTTGTTTAGCTATTGTGATTATTTGTGGGAGGGGAAATTTTAGCTTATCCTATGGAATAATTAAATTACACACATAATTAATACTTTATCAAATTGGTGTTAGAATTCAAAGCAAAATAACATACTGTACATCCTAGCAGAAAGCAATGCCACAGTATTGACAGTTTTCACTAGATAGTATTAAAGGCGATTGATTTTCACACCCCTGAAGAAGAGTTTAAAAAACTGTAGAATGCATTTATTGCCACTGTCTATCAGGAATAATGATTTTACTATCATTGTGTATTCTCCAGTATTCAGTTACCCACAATCATTTCCTACATGAGCATGATACAAAAGGATAGGCCTTTATACTTCTGAAAACATAATTTGTAAAGTGCTCACTGATTTATATTGTTCTCTATGTTCATGCTTATTTCATTTTTTTCTTGTTAATTGTGTATCACTTTGCAGTTTGACATACCCTTGATGTCAAATACCAGGCTCAAGTTTTCTTAATTTTTGGCAGATTTCAGGCTTAAAATGTTCTTATTTTGTTCTTAGTTTACACACCTTTTAAACAAAAAATTATTTAATTGTACGGCAGTATGCACAGTACTGGAATGTAGGTAAAAGTGACCACACAAAAAATGGCCCCAAATGTCAGAGCGGTACACCTACTGTATTATAGAGGGTATTGCATAGTCACACCTACTGCACATAATGTACAGATATAATTTTTTGGTTTTAAAAAAATAAAAACCTCATTTGAAATTTTACCTCAGCCTCAATTTGTTCTTATTTTGTTCTTAATTTTCAAGCAATTTCAGCCTCAGTGTTCTTATAAAATGTGTTCTTATAAAAAAAAAAAAAGTGTATTTGAAAACACATTGTCATGCGCTTTAGAAATCGAGTATCATAAAGCAGTGGAAAAGTCAGCCACGTGAAGGCCTACTGTACTTATCAAGGTCTGTGCACAAATATCAGCGAACATTCACATGCCTTCCAACTAAACCAGGGGTAAGGCTTAGCAATCATAAAGGGAGGCTTGATTCTCTTTGATGACAAGTCAGTGGAGCATAAATTTACTATAGAAACAAGCCCAGACTATCATATATTATTTGACAAAAGCATGTGACACACCTTCAGGGACAGTTCTAGAATTTTTCAAACAGGGTGAAGGGGGGGGGGAGGGGTCGCAACACTTTCAGATAAAAAGTGAGTAGCACATAACATTCATGCATTGGAATTTTAAAAACTTATTGGCAAAACGGGGGAAGGGGAGGGGTTACCGTGTGATGATATCAAATCACGACCATTACAGTATTTACAATAGGCACAACGTGATTATTTATGAGAAAACAGGTTTTTTTTTTAAAGAAAATTTATGTAGACAGAGTTTAGTAGAATGTGTGTACGAAAGCTCGCAATAATAAAATCTCAACTACAGTAGTCTTAAACACCATAGTACTTCTTTCTTTATTGTTTTATATGTGGACTACAGCAGTAAGGCTTGTCATATTTTTCTTACTAAACAAAATATCTCCCAAATCAATTGTAGTCCGCAAGTTGAATACTTTAAATAAGTAACATCTTTCATTGCGGACAGTACTTAGTCAAGAGTATTTTTAAAGAGTATATTACAAAATTTGCTTTGACAATTTTGTCACTGATGTGATATTAGACTGAAAAACATCGCTGATTCATCAACAAATTTGATGACCTTTTCAGAGGCAATAAAGCCAGTGAGAAGATGTAATAACTCAAACAGTATTTGCATCTACTGTACAGTACGGTTATCTTCATCACTAATTAAGTGTCTTTTAAAATGAGGTCAGGATGACTATATGTAGGAAATTAGGTCTCAACCATGAATTCAATAGCAATTAGCATCAATGCTTATTGCAAAACATACAGTATTTTTATGCTGTAAATTCATGCATCGATGTAGGAAAAATTTGGCATTTTTTTGTATATAGGCAATGCAAAAAGAATCATGTATTTTTTGTAGGCCTACTGTACTGTAATTCCACACCTTGTACAACATGCAAGTTAATTTTAATTTTTTTTCCTCCTGGACCACCATTACTGTAAGTGTAAAGTAATTTAATTTTTGCACAGATGATACCTCAAAAACTAGCTCAAATTTGCACTGAAAATCTCTAGGAAAACAGATCCACTGAAGGTTAGGTAAAGGTAGAGTCACAGTACTGTAGGAGAATAATCCATAACTTGCAGAATTGCATATGAGCTTGGTCCATGACTACCTAGCAGCCGTAAAGAGGTGCTTATATTAGTTACATGTTCACATCATTCCACAGCGATAGGGGCTGAAATGAACTATAACATCAGGGTAACCAGGCCCTACTCTTCCGAAAGATGCAACAGGTTCTTTAAAGTGCACATGAGCAGATTTATACGCTGCGACTCCTCCATTTTAAGTCCTTATCCAAAAAGACTTGGTTCCACCAACCCAACCCTGGGTGAGGAGCGGCTGGAACCAGCACCGATGGTAAGGCTGAAGCTAGCGGCACCCCTACCTTACCGTTTGGCCACTCGACTCGAGTAAAAGCGTACAGTAACCTCCACAAAACCTGTGGTGAAATTAGCGCGTATTTTTTTTATATGCGCGGACAGATTTTTAGGCCTAATTTGCGTGTGGAGGATATGTTACCTGCACAGAACAGGCCTTATTTATACATTCTGGTAGACCAATGTGAAACAATAAAGTGTTTAAACTGAACACGTCAACAGCTTTTCCCGACTTCCAGTTCCTTAGCTGTGTTCAGTTTCACAAAGCGCTCATAGTCGACCAGTTAAGTTGAGTTGATTGAGTTCTGTGTCAACCTGAGCCTGCCTAGGCCCAGGCTATCTATAATAAAACAGTAGTTGATCCATGACCATGAATTTATTTAATAATGAGGAAAAGAAAACAGGCCTAGGCCATCCATAAACATTCATCATACTGTACAAACACAGACTGCCTAGGCTAGGTCCATGGCCAATTTCTTCCTTAGAGCCTAGGATAGGCCTAATTTATTCTAGGTCTAACCTACCTACAGTAGTTTGCCTAGTGGGCCTAGCTTCCTGGGATAAAGGAAGAGAGAAGTGGATAGCCCCCCCCCTGTCTCTTATACACATCTAGATGTGTATAAGAGACAGCTTATTGGCAAGGCCTAGGCTAGTTACAGTAGTAGTAGTAGTAGGCCTAGTAGTAGTAGTAGGTGCTAATTATTACCTAGGCCTAGCCTACTGAAGCTGTATTCTGGTACAGTACCTTAAGTGATTCGCCATCAACATCGATCGTCTTTTCTCTAAAATCTACCCCTATTGTAGCCTCAGTCTTTTCTGGAAATTTTCCACCACAAAAACGAAAAGTAAGGCATGTCTTTCCAACATTAGAATCCCCTATCACAATAATCTTGAAGATACGTTTTTGTTTGTCAGATTCATCGTATGGGTTTTCTAGGGTTGAGGTGGGCTCGCTCGTGTCACCTTTATTATCACTCATCCTAGTTGAAGTGGCACTTTCAAATCGTCCAAATAAACAATGCCCACAAAATACTTATAATCTGATGGTTTATGTATCCCAATTCTCGTGTTATTAAATGTATTACATAAAAATATGTTGTATTCCAAATATACAGGCTATCAAACATCCACCCTTCGTAAGTCAGCCATCACGGTGTCTCTCGAGATATAAAATATCTAGCCTCGTTCGAAAGTATCATAAAAATAGAATATTTCAAAATATATTACAACATAAATTCTGCATAATATTTGTACAATAAATTATTTTAGTCTATTTATTATTTTAAATAATAATTATATTACATAAAGTAATTTAAATGGTATAATATGTGACCAAATATTACAAATTATTCAACAGTATGCAATACAAGCAGACGAAAACAATCGCACTGTAATTGTAAAATTGTAGTAGTGAAAATTGTAGTAGTGGAGTACAATACACTAAATATTTAGGTTTCTTGAATAATTTGGATTACCATAGTATTTTTTTTTTATAGTATTTCACTTTTGCAAATATGTTGTTGCCATTAAACAAAGTAAAAAATGTTCAACACTACACATTTTGTTTTGCTCTTTTCGACTCGCTTACTGTAAATTGGTGGCGCTATTACTATACATAAATTGAGAATAATACAGTACTTCCTATTGTAAAATAGATTGCTACCGATACAGGATACTATGTAAACGAGAATGGACATCCAAATTGTGAAAGCACTCCAATTAAGGGGACACTTATTCAATTCAATTAAAGTTTTATTTCAGACATCCATTGTCCATATAAACAATATAGACGGGGACACTTTCTGAGTGTGTAAAATTGTCAAATCAAAACATTTTCAACTCCTGGGGAACTTTAACATATCACTATTGTTTTAAGTTGTATCACTACTACAACTACAATAGATTCAATATAACAAAATTTAATTCAAATTTATATTCTGACAACTTTTGAGCGATAAAATGGACATTTATTTCTTTATCCATATCAAGGGTTAAAATTGGATATCAGCTATAATAGCGGTACACTTTTACTTTTCATCATGAGATTTATCTATTTTTTCTTGTGTACTTTCAGTATGGATTTTCAAAGTCATTACTTTATTCATTCTCTGTATCTGTCATAGCACTGGAATCGGGAACAACATAGGCCTACTGTACACATTTTGTTGCTTCAATTACATTTATTTTGATTTTATCATAAATGTATTGGATTTGCATTACAAGTTTTTGATACAGCTTAGTTTAACAACTCGCTTAAGTCAACTAAAATAAAATTATAAAGAATCTATATCTCCATTATATGACTACGTGCCAATAATAAGCTTTTTTTATGCAAGATTTTTTTTATATTTCGTTTCAAGGACGCCCCCAGTTTTCGACTCCCAGACCAACCCACCAATATTTATGATTATTTCGCATACACGTATTTGCAGTCAGTCTATTATCACTGTATTATTTAAAATTTGATTTATAAGCAGTGTCCACATTACTTAAAAGTTAATTGATTGAAAATGATTTAATTGTGAATGTCATTAAATTATAATAAAACATTTGAAGATACAAGTACAGGTCTCCCTCCAATGATAGACCCTTCCAATGAAAGACCCCTCCAATTAAGGACCAGTATTCTCTGGTCCCATATTAACAAATTTCTTTTATCTTTATTATTCTAATGAGAGACCAAAGCTGTTAAAGACCATGGAAACCCAGGTCCCAAAAGTGGTCTTTAATTGGAGGGAGACCTGTAGTTATAAATTTCATTAAATGTGATAAAAACACATAATTTTTATGGGGCCATAATAATAAATCACTGCAGGAGTGTGCTACAAGCTGACATCGGTAAATTCAGTCTGTGGAACCCATAGAGCTATTAAACAACTAGAGTGCTGACAAGATGGCGCAGCAATGCAGAGTTATGTATGTGTACCATCCAAGATGGCCGTCGTAGTAAAGCGCCACCTTCAGGCTTAGTATACATATTAATAAG